AAGCAGTGGTATCAACGCAGAGTACTGTATCTGAACACTGATTACAATCGGACGAAGGACCCGTAAACGGCGGGGGTAACTATGACCCTCTTAAGGTAGCGTAGTACCTTGTCGCTTAATTGGCGACTTGCATGAATGGATGAATGAGGGCTCTACTGTCCCTACCGCAAATCCGTTGAACCTTTTATCCTAGTGCAGAGGCTAGGGACTCCCATCGGGAAGTGAAGACCCCATGGAGCTTTACTGCAGCCTGTCGTTGATTTACGGTATTACATGCGCAGAGTAGATAGTAGGTGTTAATGCTTCAGTTTCGGCTGAAGTGGAGCCGCCGTTGAGACACTATCCTTGTTCTGCTGTAAATCTCACCCGTTATGCGGGGACATCGGTAGGTAGGCAGTTTGGGTGGGGCGCCACACCCTCGAAAAAATATCAAGGGTGCCCTATGGTCAACTCATGTGAGTCAGCAACTCACAGGAGAGTGTCAAGAGCATAAGTTGGCTTGACGTGATTTCGCACAGCAAGAAATCACGAGTGGAAACACGGGTCTAACGAACCAATACGCCTTTTTGGTGAGGGCTATTGACTACAGAAAAGCTACCCTGGGGATAACAGAGTCGTCGCCGGCAAGAGCACATATCGACCCGGCGGCTTGCTACCCCGATGTCGGTTCTTTCCATCCTGGCTGTGCAGCAGCAGCCAAGGGTGAGGTTGTTCGCCTATTAAAGGGGATCGTGAGCTGGGTTCAGACCGTCGTGAGACAGGTCGGTTACTATCTGATGGGAGTGTTCGAAATCTGAAAGCAAGAATGAAATAGTACGAGAGGAACTTTCATTCGTCGCCTCTGGTGTATCGGTTGTCTGACAAGGCAGTGCCGAGCAGCTACGCGGCAAGAGATAAAAACTGAAAGCATCTAAGTTTGAAACTTCGCTCAAAAAGAGATTTCGTTATAGAGCACCGGTAAAAGACCGGATTGATAGGTCTGGGATGTAAGCACGAAGGCAACGACGTGTTCAGTCCGCAGATACTAATGCTCAAATCCAGAAAAAATTAATACATTAATCCTGCTTTAGCCTTTGCTGGAATAAATATTGTTCTTTGTGGTTGTATGGGGTAGATGGATAAACTCTACTTTCTTGAATCTACTAACTCAACTCATTTACTGTATGTATTTCTTAGGAGGTTTCGCTGTTCCCAGACGTCATCCAAATGCAATGCCGAATACTATATCATATGATGACCTCAATTTATTGAAATCTGAATAGATTTCTTTAAATAATCGGTTGTTCAATATATATGTGCAAGATTCATTGAATGATATTGAACAATTGAGTCAAGTTGGCGGAGTGGTTACGCGGTTGCTTGTAGGACAACTATACTTCCGTTCGAATCGGAAACTTGGTTCAGTTGTTTAATATATATATGCGAAATATTCATTGAATGATATTGAACAATTGAGTCAAGTTGGCGGAGTGGTTACGCGGTTGCTTGTTGGACAACTATACTTCCGTTCGAATCGGAAACTTGGTTCAGTTGTTTAATATATATATGCGAAATATTCATTGAATGATATTGAACAATTGAATCAAGTTGGCGGAGTGGTTACGCGGTTGCTTGTAGGACAACTATACTTCCGTTCGAATCGGAAACTTGGTTCAGTTGTTTAATATATATATGCGAAATATTCATTGAATGATATTGAACAATCGAGCCAAGTTGGCGGAGTGGCTACGCGGCTGCCTGCAGAGCAGCTATACTCCCGTTCAAATCGGGAACTTGGCTTGGGGAAATTGCGGCCATAGCAGAGAGGTTCCACCCGGACCCATTCCGAACCCGGCAGTTAAGCTCTCTCACGTTCACTACTGTACTCAGATACGCGAGTTCTCGGGAACTAGTGATCGCTGCACCCCTCTTCTTTTCGTGAATTATTTATTATCTTATTGTTCATTATCATTGCTGATGTTTCGTTTTTTTTGATTACATTTCAATCTGTTTTATAATATGGAGATATTACCCTCTATTCATTGTCAGAGTAAGATACTCTTTCTGCGCGTTTTTGAATTTAGGAGTTCTCTTATAATGAATCCCCAGGTAGATAAACTGGTATAATATAGGATCTATTTTTTGGTTTCATCCTATCTATCTTTTGAAAATATTGGAGATCTTTGGAATGTATTCTTGTGGAAATTATTTTAGGGAACGAGATTCTCATTTCGATACTTAATAATAGGGGAAACAGTCAAATAATAATCTATATTATTAAAGCGGTAATGGTCCAATGGTATGACAGGAGCTTCCCAAGCTTCTAATCCGGGTTCGATTCCCGGTTATCGCATTAATTTATGTCTTCATCTGAAAATACGGATTCGGTAGATGAACTGATTGAAAAGGCTGTTTCTGTTCTTCATCATGATGGTTTGGTGGTTTACCCAACAGAAACGGTCTATGGTCTTGGTGCCGATGCCTTGTCGGAGCAGGCGATTTTGAAAATCTATGAATCAAAACAGCGTTTGCTGGGGAAACCAGTTTCAGTTGCTGTGTCGGATATTGATATGATATATGGAATTGCAAGTGTTGATGATGTTGCAGAAGAATTCATTGCAAAATATTTACCTGGTCCGGTTACCGTAATTCTTCCGGCGAATACGGTATTACCAAAAGATTTGATGGCCGGAAGTGGAATGATTGGTATACGTTATCCGAATCATCCGTTTGCTCTTAAATTAATATCTGCGTTTGATTCCCCTTTAACTGCTACCTCTGCAAATATTTCTGGGAATGTTTCACCGACAACTGCAGATATGGTTAATGTACCGCATGATTATTTGATTGATGGGGGAAAACTTACTGGGACTCCAAGTACGGTGGTAAATCTTGCTGAAAGAAAGATTGTACGTCCCGGGCGATGCTTGATGAGGTTGCTTTATTTCTGAAAGAATTGGCATGATAAAACAGTCATATACCGTATATGGCATGACATGTCAGGTGTGTGCACATAATGTTGAGCGAACCGCAAAAAAAGTTGAAGGGGTTGTTTCTGCTTCAGTTAATTTATTAGCGAATACGTTAGAGGTTGAATCGAATGGGAGTATTCCTGATGAATTAATCATTGATGCGGTAAGAAATATTGGTTATCGTGCTGTCAGTGGCTGTCATGCTGTTGATTCCAATAAGCAGTTCGGTTTTCGCCGGTTGTTTTTATCCATTGGTTTCCTGATACCGTTATTGGTGATTTCCTTTTTATCGGGTTTAGGAATCTATTTTAATGCAATACCGTGTATCACAGCACTGCTTGAATTCTTTTTGGTTGTGGGTATCTTTTGGCTGAATAGGTCGTATTTTGTTATGGGGATACCGGCTCTTTTTCGTGGAAAACCGAATATGGATTCACTGGTATCGCTTGGGTCACTGACGGCAGGAATCTACAGTATTTTTGTGATGATGGAGATTTTAATAACTTCTGAATCATCATCTCCCTTGTATTTTGAATCGGCCGGTATGATACTAACCCTAGTTTCGGTTGGTAAATATTTGGAATCACGATCAAAAGACAAAACGACGGATGCGGTATCTCGTCTTCTTAATTTGAATCCGAAATCGGCAACTGTTCTGCGTCATGGTGAAGAACGTGTTATTCCGGTTGCTGATGTGGTGCTTGGTGATACCGTTATTGTTACCTCGGGGTCTCAGATTCCGGTAGATGGGATAGTATCTTTTGGAGTATCTTCGGTTGATGAATCGGCTTTAACGGGTGAAAGTTTGCTCTTAACAAAAAAAATCGGGGATTTTGTTCGCGCGGGGACAATTTGTTTGTATGGAGGAATCAGGGTAACGGCAGAAAAAGTAGGTAAAGATACGACACTATCCCAGATAATCGATCTTGTTCAGAAGACGGGAGCTTCCAAAGCGCCAATATCACGGTTAGCCGATAGAATCAGTGGGATATTTGTTCCGATTATCCTTGGCCTTTCAATGATTGTTTTTCTGATATGGCTGATATCAGGTGCGTCCGTTTCATCAGCTTTATCATTTGGAATTGCGGTCATGGTGATTTCATGTCCCTGTGCTCTTGGATTGGCAACTCCGGTTGCCGTAATGGTTGCGACCGGTAAATCAGCATCATTAGGGATATTGGTCAAGTCGGCAAGAGCCCTGGAGTTGGCAGGTCGTGCGGATACGGTTATTTTTGATAAAACCGGGACATTAACGTATGGTTCGCCTCGAGTTCAGGCGGTCTATCGGTCTGAAGGTGTATCCGTCATGAAGTTTTCTGCGATTGCAGTTTCCTTGGAATCAATGTCATCGCATCCGTTTGCCAAGGCTGTTGTTTCTTCCCTAGAAAAACAGGACTGTCATGTTTATCCAGTCATCGATTTTCTCACGATTCCCGGTCGCGGAGTTTCGGGAACGATAAATGGAATCCGTTGTTTTGCGGGTAATCGAAAATTTATGGAAGAAATGCAGGTATCACTATCTTTTCCTTCCGTTTTAGAAGATTATGGTTCACGCATTTATTTTGCCGAGGGGAATACACCGCTTGGGGTTATCTCATTAGTTGATAAGATCCGTGATTCTGCGATTGAGACGGTAGTGGATCTTCATACTCTTGGTTTTCAGACGGTTATGTTAACAGGAGATCGGAAGAAAACGGCGGAGATTGTCGCTCAGTCTCTTGGTATTGACAGGTATTTTCCCAATCTTCTCCCGGCGGAAAAAGAAGCAGAAATTAGGAATATACGGCGTCAGGGTCATGGTACTATCATGGTTGGAGACGGTATAAATGATGCTCTGTCGCTTGTTTCTGCGGATGTGGGTATTGCAATAGGAACTGGTTCTGATATTGCTATTAACGCTGCTGATATTGTATTAATGCGCAGTAATCTGATGTTGGTATCTGATATTGTTAAGTTAAGTCGCTTTACATTACGCACGATTAAACAAAATCTATTTTGGGCTTTTATTTATAATTTCATTGCCATTCCGCTTGCGGCCGGTGTTCTTTTTGTTCCGTTTGGATTGCATTTATCTCCAGGAATTGCAGCATTGTGTATGAGTTGTTCATCAGTATGTGTGGTATTAAATGCCTTAAGAATTCGTAAATTCAAAGGTTCTTCTGAATCATCGTATCTTAATCTTGATACGTCCAATAAACTAAATAATAGCAGTATGAGAAAAATAATTTCAATTGAAGGAATGATGTGTAAACATTGTCAAACTGCTGTTTTTCAGGCATTGAAAGGAATAAAGGGTGTTTCGGATATTGTTGTGTCATTGGAAAATCATTCGGCTACTGTTACCGTTTCTCCTGATATTTCAGATGATGAGTTGAAAAATGCCATTGTTATGGCTGATTTTAAGGTAACGGGGATTAAAACGCTTTAATCCGAATATTTAACTCTTTATAAATCAACTATTATACTATTTATGTCAGAAATGAGAAAACTGACGGTTAGTGTCACTATAAATATAGGCAATAATGAAAATCTGCATTTTGAGGTAAGTGATTTGGTATCTTCCTTGGAATCGGCAACAGAACTTCGTCATTTCCTTTCATCCGTTTTGGAAGAATACGGAATGAACAATTCAGATGTTCATGACGTGATTGAAAGTTATCGAAATCGTGTTCTTTTAGATAACGTAAATTCCGATGAGAATTCTCATTTGGAGACTTCTGCGGGATTATCGGATATCTCTGAATATCCACAATCTTCGGGAGATGAAAATAGCTCGGAATTATCTGTTGATTCGTCTTCATCAGGTACTCCTTTCAATGAATCTGTTTCATCAATTGATTCACAGAATGATTTAGCATCTGAACCATCGGCTGTTTTATCGCATGCAGTTTCGGATGATGGCAAAAAATTGGATGCAAAATCCCAGTCATCTGAGAATCAAAACAATAATCCATTTGGTGTCACGTCTTCTCCGTTGCGTAATCCGTTGCTTTGGACGCCCCCGGTAACACAGTCTAAAGGTTTTGAGTGTGTTCGGGGAAATAAAACAGAAAAGCCGGCAGAATCCGTTGATGAAGTGAGTTCTGAAAATTATGTCTGTTCGAAATGCGGTGCGCCGGTAAGTCGGTTACAGCGTGATGTTTCAATGCTCTTTAATCACAAAATCCTTTGTAAGGAATGTATGAAATAAGATAGTAATGAGGGCAAATCTGTTAAAGTGGGATGAAACACTGTTTCGTGATCCGGACGTTTTTGAACTGAGTTATCTTCCTGAACAGTTTGACTACCGTGATGATCAGACAGAATCCCTTGCTTTAGCAATTAAACCCGGTTTTTTTGGCGGGAAAATTATGGAAACCCTTTTACGTGGTCCGCCAGCGACTGGAAAAACAACTTCAGTTAAGAAAATATTTCAGCTTATTCGTGAATCGACCGATTCTATCATTCCGATTCATATAAACTGTAAAGTTGATTCCACTGAGTTTGCAGTATTTTCACGCATTTATTCTTCTCTTACCAATCAGCGACCTCCGTCTTCGGGGACATCAGTCAAGCAACTTCTTGATATGATATCTCACTATATTCGCGAACATAAAATCCAGCCGTTGATTTGTTTGGATGATGCGAATTACCTGATTTATCAAAAAGAGTTTGTTAATGTTTTGTATCCGATTTTGCGATTTCATGAGGTATATTCGGCAATAAATATTGGTTTGATTGTTATTATCAGTGATCCGCGAATTGATCTTGAAAATTCGTTAGATGTTCGTGTTCGTTCATGTTTTCATCCTGAAATTATATCATTTCCTCCATATTCTGCACGTGAACTTGCGGGGATTCTTAATGCGCGTGTGATCGCAGGGTTATATCCTCATGTCCTTCCGAGTGAAATCCTTGATTGTATTGTGGATAAATGTCTAATAGAAGGGGATGTGCGATTGGGACTGACGTTAATTAAACGTTCGGTTCTTTATGCGGAACGTGATGCACGGAAATCTGTATCGGAAGATGATTATCGTAAATCTCTTGAATCCATGATGGACTTGCAGATTTATGATTTAATAAAATCGCTGAGTTCTGATTCCTTTCTTGTTTTATCGACGATTGTTGATTTATTTTCGCCAACGTCATCTCCAACGACAAAAGAAGTTATGGACGCACTTCCTTCTGATGGCCCTAAAAAAACCAAGGTATCAGAAATTCTGCAGTATTTAGATACAATCGGTCTGATTGATCTTGAATATGAAAACTGCGGGTCGGGAAGACGTCGGGTTGTCCATCTTCATAGGGAGAAGGATGATTATGTAAAGGTAATCGATGCTATTAAAAAAGGCACTTAACTCGCCCTTAGTTCCCGATGTTTTTTGAGTTCACATAACCTATTTCTCCATTCAATGGGAGAATTTGCCGTATTTCTTAAAGAAAAATAACGTACAGCATATTTGTTTACGGTCTTGTTACCATAGATGAATATGAAATTTGGCAAAACCAAATAAAACCGCGCTAGAGTTTGTGGTTCACGTATCATATAGACATCATTTATAAGAAACTTTCGTCCAAAGGATCTATTTTGGATGATTCGGAGATGATTTTTCTCCAGTTGGAGGGGGAAGACTGTCTGAAAACTCGTATTTTTTGTCATAAAAGCCTTTGAATTGACCAAATTGAGGGTATTTCGTGTGATTTATTCTTGGAGATAGGGAGTTTTCAGACAGTCTGGGGGAATGTTGACCTCTAAGCGAAAAAGAGAAATAATACAACAGATGAATCAATAACTCTTATCTATATTTACGAACTAATATTTTATCTCAAATAGATGTAAAGAGAATCTCAAAAAAATCAACGTTCATAGAAACATTGCCTTAATGGCTTATTTATGGGTAGTTAGTTTTTTAATTTTATGTTTTTTTGATATTCTTTTTTGGAGAGAATTATCGTGATAAGTGTAAATGAATCTGGTTTGGAGTTATTCCAAGAACTTGTTGATGACTGGGAATGGCTCAATGTTGCCTATCATGAACTTGATAATGGCGCTAAAATTGTTGATTGTGGGGTGAATGCACCGGGAAGTTACCAGGCAGGGTACTATTATACCCTCATTTGTATGGGTGGTCTTGGAGATATCAGTTTCCGTCAGGGTATGGTTGGAAAGTTTCCGATGACGTTTATTGATGTTAGTACTGATTTTCCGTCGATTTCCTGTCTTGGCTCTCAAAAAGCTGGGTGGAGCGTAAAACATGATGGTTTCTTTGCTATGGGTTCCGGTCCAGCTCGTGCATTGTCTCTTCAGCCAAAGCACACCTATGAAGTTATTAACTATAAAGATGAGTGCGATGCAACGGTTATCTGTCTCGAAGCCGATCGTCTTCCGTCTGAGTCAGTTATGACGATGATTGCTGAAAAATGCCATGTTCCTGTATCCGAAGTCTGCGCTCTTGTTGCTCCGACATCTTCGCTTGTTGGTTCAATTCAGGTTGCAGGACGCTGTGTTGAAACTGCTATCTATAAATTGAATGAACTTGGTTTTGATACTAGAAAGATTATCGCAGCATCTGGTTCTGCTCCGATTCCGCCGGTACGTGGCCCTAAACTTGCTATGGGTGTTACCAATGATGCAACAATATACCACGGTCAGATTTATTTGACAGTGAACGCACCGGAAATTGTTGATTACCTTGATAAGATTCCAAGTTGTGCATCAAATGGATATGGACAGCCATTCAATGATATTTTCAAGGCAGCTGGATATGATTTCTTCAAGATTGATAAGAGTCTATTCTCCCCAGCTGAAGTTGTTATCAATGAAATATCAACTGGTAAAGTATATCATGTTGGTAAAGTTGATGCAGACGTTACTCTGAAATCTTTTGGACTGGCATAAACTTAGGTAATCTTGTAATTGTACGGGATTTTTTTATCCCGTGTTATTATTTTATCGCAGGATTAATTAGGGTTGAGAGATATATTATTATTATATAGTTGGTCTCGTGGTCTAGGTGGTTATGACGCCAGCCTTACATGCTGGAGGTCAAGGGTTCGAATCCCTTCGGGACCATTTGTGCTTTTTTTTCTTGGAAAAAAAAGTTTCTTATTTTAAAATGATGGAATGTTCATATGAGGCCATCATTTTTTCTTCCCGTTTTTGATACTATTGGAAATATATTCTAGGTGAAAATAAATAATGGTGGAAAAAAAGAGAAAAATGGATTTATTCGGCTTTCTGTTGTGAATTTGCACCGGATGATGCGATTGCGGTTTCAATCTGAGTCTTGAGTTGAGTTGCTTTTTCTGTCATTGCCTTCTCTTGTTTGTCCAATGATGAGATACGAAGTTCAAGAGAATCAATTCTTTCCGAGAGTTCTTTTTTAATGCTTTCTTTGTCTTTTTGAATCATTACGGAACCGATGGATGAAAATATGATGGTATCTTCGTTTGCAGAATTCAGTTCTTCATCAGCTCGTTTTGTTTCACGCAGTGTCATTTCATATTGCATTTTTTGCGATGCTATCTGTTGCATCTGTTGCTGAATCTGTTGAAACATGGCAAGTTTCTGCTGGATCTGGGGAGGAATTCCCTGTTGCGGATTTGCTGTCATTTTTAAATATCACCTGTTTTTCTTTATTTATTGGCGGTATAAATTAATAATTATAGTTGTATGCTGAATCATCAGAGTGCTAATATTTCGGTTGAAACAGCGATGAGACGGAACCACATGTTTAATGCAGCTCGCAGGGATGATATATCCTCTGCAGCAATTTTAAGGTGGATTTCCGATTCGTATTTTGTAATGTCAACGACTGATTTTTCGCCTGGATTATTCACGGTTTCTGGATAGAGAACGGCATAGAGTGAATTGGCATATTCTGTTTCAAAAATAAATTCGGCATGATGTGGCATGGTCTGTAAATTGGTCATATTATACCATTACCTGCAGACGATACTGTTTTTTCTGCCGTCCGCAGAAACAAATTGGACCATCCGTAGTTTTATCCAGTTTTATGGGAAGATAGGGAGACATTTCTTTGAAGAGGTCTTCTTCTCGTGTTCGAAATCCATTATAGAATTCTCCGGTTCGTTCAGAGATGGTAATATTGGTAATTAACATTGAAAATACTGTTTCTCCATTTTTGGTAATATCAATAATCGGTTCCTTTTGTTTTGAACCGGAAATAAAAATAATAGAGGAATTTATTTCCTCTATAGTGCGCAGTCCTTGTTTCCCTCGCTGAACATAGGGAAAATCTAAAGCAAATGCTATTTCTTTTGCAATTCGCCGGATTTCAGTAGATGGTTTACGTGATGACGTTACAATCGTCATCGTGCTTTTAGTACTTTTGTGTTGGTACCGCGAGTCTTGAAGAGAATGCGGTGACCACAGTAGGGGCATCTGACATTGGTATCAATTTCAACCATCTGTTTGCATCGTGCACACTTATAACTAATCATTTATTTTAGGCTCCCTTCGTTTCAATGTCACGAAGGACAACTTTTTGTGATGGAGTTTCAGGGGTATATGCTCCGCCGGCGAATTTATATCCGCATTTTTTACACTCCCAAATTCCGGTTCCGACACGTTTTACTGCAATTGTATCACAGTGGGGACACAGGTGCTTTGCACGTGAAATTTTTTCACTTTCATTTACCAGTTTACGACCAAATCTGCCGTATCTTGGACCAAATCTGCCTGCACTTCCGGTAACACGTCCCTTTGCTGATTGTTTTGTTTTCGATGCCATATGTTATATCTCCAAATTTCTAATTATATTGGGTTTCTACTAATTTAATAGTTGCGTGTCTCTATTTACTCGATTATCTTTAAAATTGCATCGCCCTTTGCAGCCGCATTGGCTAAATTAAAGAAATCTTCCTGCATTCCTGCTGGGATGACGACAACACAAATCCATGATCCGTCGTTTTGCCATTCATTCTTTTCCATCTTGACATAAGCTGCACCGGATATGGTTCCATATGCGCGCGCTGCAAAATCCGGAGGAAACTTTGCGGCAATTTTCCGTTCTTCGAATTTGATGGGGAGAATCGGTCGTAACGCCTTGACGGTTTCCTTCACCAAGTCATCTACGGAATGGAATGGATCAAAGTTGATACGTACTTGTTCCAAAGCAAGTTCAATTCTTGTCACGGGGTGCGGAAGACCGGTCTGTGGGTTAACTGCATTGCGTGCAATATAGGAAATCACCCGTTTACGTTTTTCTTCTGTCAGATGCCGACGCTGTTCAGTAGTTAGGTGGATTTCACCCTTGAGAATAATCTGTTTTGCAATTGCTTCAAATTCGGTGGTTTTGAAGACTTTCTGCAAGTCTTCGTCTGGTGATTTATCGCCTCGCGATGCATTTTCATAGATATGAAGTGTTGCAACTGCATCTTCAATGGGTATTTCTTTGCCGTGACGTATGCCGTCAGCCAGTTCGGGATCAACGAGAATCTCAAAGCGAAGACCGTGTGTCTCAAGTTTGGCACAAACCGCATCATCAAGTGAAATCATACTGACTCGTCCTTCTTACCTTTTTTTTGTTCTTTTTTTGCCGGTTTAATAGTAGCAGAAAATTTGGCGACGGCGGATTTGAGTTCCTCTTCGGTGAGTTTTCTAAATGAAAGAATTTCGGTTTTGCCGCCGGTCGGCAGTTCAAGTACCTTTTTACTGACTTTCTTTTTCAGATATTCACCTGCAATACCAATTTCCACGGTATCAATGTCAAATTTACCTTCAGTCGCGGTATAGAGAGCTTTTAGACCAAGTTGTACTGCGTCTTCCGCCGACATTTTTTCTTTGTATTCCTCTTCAAAGAGTTTTATGACGGCCTGACGACCGATTCCGATACCGGTTGCCATATATTCAAGGAGTGTTCCCGAAGGGTCGGTTTCAAAGAGACGGAATCGCGGTTCACCATCGGATGCGATATCGACGCCGGCAAGAAGAAGGGCAGTACCATAGGGACGTGCTCCTCCAAAGAGGGTATAGGTTTGCATATGGTCGCACAGTTTCTTTGCCAGTGTTTCAACATCAATCGGTTCACCGTAGGATATACGGTTTATCTGCGCATCTACCCGTGCACGTTCTACGAGTGCGCGGGCATCTCCGACAAGACCGGACGACGCAACACCGATGTGATCATCAATTCTAAAAATTTTCTCTATTGATGAGGGTTCTAACAGGCGAGATGCTACCCGCTTGTCAACAAGAAGTATTACTCCTGTTTTGCATTTTATGCCAATGGCTGTAGTTCCGCGTTTGACAGCTTCACGGGCATATTCTACCTGGTAAAGTCTTCCATCTGGAGAAAACATAGTAATGGCACGGTCGTATCCGCCCATCTGATATTGTTGTGGTTGCATGATTTAAGAATCCCTTTTCTATATTTTACTTATTTATATTTATTCTTCCTTTAGATAGTTCTTGGTTTAGGAATTATTTTTTTCATTGCTCCTTTTATAGTTCCGGAGGTGATTATCGATTTCACTCGCATAATGTCGTCAGAATGTGGTCCCGTTTTGATAATACAGGAAAGAGCAGCTATTAGTTTTGTTTCGGTACCACGTGTACAGCGGACAATAGCATATTCTCCTTCTGACCAGACAACTGCAGGTCTGATTTCAGCAAGACCGCAGTCACCAAAGAGACTATGTACCGATGCTGCGCAGGTAAGATATATTTCTTTTTGGTCGGGAATATCTTTATTCGGGTTGGTGATAATCTGAACTAAAACATATCGACGATTTAATCGAAGTGTTGGAGGCAGAGGCTTCATGAATATTCTACCTCCACTATCCTGCGCAGATTAAGAAGAGTATCTGGGGCGGATAGAGCTGTATATACTTCCCTCCTCGTCATCCCAAACAGGGAGCAGAGGGCAATGGTTTCTGAAATATTACGAATCTCCGATGGAGATTTTGCTCCGGATGCAATTACTAAGGGGAACTGATATTTTCTCTGCAGTGAGAGAATATCTGCATAATTTTTCAGTGCATTTTTTCTGGTTCGCGGATGGATAATGCTTGCCAGTTCAATTACGATACCGGTTTTTTTATCACGGGCCTGTTTGGCAATGATATGATCAAATCCATTTTTTGGAAGAGTTTCAAATCCGGTAATGAATTTTACCTTCTGCTGGGTTAAAAGAAATCGATTAAATGCGTAATCTCCTGCATTCGCGAGAATCATAGGTTTGTTTTTAGCTTGGCTGATACTTGCCAGGAATTCCTTTGGTGTGGTTGAATGAATCCGAATTGCAGGGATGATAGTTTTTGATTCTTCGGTTGATATACCGGTTACGGCACAACGATCCCATCCGTTACGGGTGGCTTCAAAAATAATATCAGAAACAGAATAATGAGAGGTTCCCGTGATGCTGATGCATACGTCGGTAATCATGGATAAAGAAAGAATAAAAACAGAATCAGGTTATTTACCCTGATTCTTGTTGGAGCGGATGCTTGGGAAACATTTTTCCGTTCCGCGTCCTCGATGCTGTTGTCCGCGTGATTTTCTTCCGGCAGAAGTCTTTCCACGGTAGACACGTCCTCGTACGGTTGCAATCCATGCAAGGTTTTTATCTGCAAGAACTGTCGGACTTGCGCGGTCAACAAGGATAACTTCGTAGTACTTGTGTTTGCCGTCTTCTCCAACCCAATAGGAATTTAAAACTTCCATGTTTGGATAGCGACTCTGTGCACGCTCTTCTGCAATAAATCTCAGGTTTTTCCCGGGTGTTGCCTTGCGCATACTCATACGGTTGGTTCTGCGACCTCTGACATACCGTGATTTTCTGCGACCTCCTCGACGGATAGATGCGCGGACAACAATAATACCCTGTTTTGCCTTGTATCCAAGTGCATGAGCCCGGTCAATACGGGTCGGACGCTCGATTCGAACAACCGCTCCCTGTTTGCGCCAGGTTTGCATTCTCTCCCAGAGGAGTTTCTTTACGCCGGATGCTTCCGGTTTTTTCCATGCATCACGGACATAGCCGTACATAGATTTTGACATGTGTTTTTGTTCACCTTCAAGGTTCAGCTGGGATGGTATTTCAGCCACATTCCTTTTTTGTTGGTTTTCAGCAAAAGCTGTAAACTCTATATTATTTTGGATTTACAGTATATAAATAATTAATTTCTACCGAATTGGTAAAAAATATAAAAAATGAAATCAATGATAAAAAATATGGTGCAGAGTTTTAGTTTACCTACTGCTGCTGTTTCTGGTTCTGAATTGCCGAATAAATCTGTTGCATTCTTACATCAACTGCATGCATCTGTTCCTGCAGTTTTGCAATCGATTCTGTTAAGCGTTTTCCAGATGCTTCCATTTCAGTTATTCGATCAGTAAGGTAGGCGATACTGTCATCTGCTGATTTTTCAAGGGTAATTCCGGCACCAATGGTTACGAGAACCTTTTTTGCGTTCTCAACTGAAGCACGAATCATCACTCCTCCACCGAGGGGAAGAAGAACGGTTGTTTTTCTATCGATTGTTTTTAATGTTTCGAGTGTTTCAATTGTACTTCGTGCTTCCGTTTTTGCTGCATCAATATATTTCAGCTGTTCGGAAAGCATGGTAAACTGATTTGAATATTCAGTTGCATAGGCCTGGAGAGATTGAATTTCTTCTTCCAGTGACATTTTCGAAACCGGTGCACGTGTTTTAGTTGCCATCTGCACCCTTTATAGATTCAATAGCAATATACTTACGTTCAAGTCTGTGCTTGCTTCCAATGGTTGCAAGGGTAAATTCCCCTGCAAGTTTTTCAGAAGGAGCATCGACTACTTTTGTAAAGGGTTTCATGATTCCATCATTTAGGAATTTTCCTTTTACTTCAAATTTAGGCATTGTTTTTATCCTCACTCAAATCCAAATACATCTTCAATTCTACCGAGTTCAAATCCGCTAGTGGTGTTTCCAGTCAGGTAGTTCTTGTTGTTAATGAGCATTCCTGCTCCTATCATTTGTGATCCCATATTAACCGATCCGGTTCCGATTGGGAAATCAGAGTTTGGAATCCGTGTTTCGAGGGTTTTAATTTCTTCCGGTGTTGTATGTGCTGGGAGAAGGATTCCTGAGTTGTTGATTGCACAACTCATACCGACCGTTCCGATGCCGGCAAACGATTGGGGAATGACAGGTACTTTCAGAAAATCACTTACCATGCGGCGCATTTCCATTGACATATCAGGATGAACAATGGCAAATGAATCATTGGCAAGAATCACATTCCCTGCGGCATTCATCTCTTCTCCCAGCAGGAGTACATCGCCGTATTCCTGGAGGATTTCGAGTTCTGAATTCTGAATGAGACCAGATGTTACAAATCCATTTGAATTTCCGGTAAGAAGCATGCCAATTACTGATGAGCCTTGAATAAATGTTTCAACAACATCCACATCGAGGGTTTCACCAATTTTAATCTTAAAATCTTCCGGAGCGTCAATCGGAACGAAAGCAATATCGTCAAATGCACGTGCAAATGAACCGATATTGGGGTCGCCATTCAGGGACAGGGTAGGATCCATTTATTCCTCTGCAAGTCCAGCTCGAACCGTTCCGTCTTCGAATTTCGTTGCACGTACACGGATTCTTCGTGGCGGTTTCTGAGATCCGCGTTCCCAAACTGCTTCGTTTATACTTTTGTCGAGTTTGATGGATTCGCTCTTTAAGTGATGAGCGAGGAATGCACGGATGTCAGTAATTGCGGCGTTTGCACGCTTATAGCAGGGGACGCGCTTAACATCGCGAAGCGGTATGATGTAGATTTGTTCTTTTGTTTCTTCTACCATTTTTCTTACACCTTCAGCGTGCTGCGTCTCCAGTTGCGTCTCTTCGGGTGGGATACAACAGCCCGCTTTGTTTTAATCATAACCCAGGACGGCACTCTGCGGTTTTGCTGGGTCGCCTTAGATAACCGGATTTTACGGCTTTTCGTAAGTCTGCTCATGGTTAGTTCACCAGTTTTTTCTTTAGAATGAGAGACTGTTCATGATGTATGGGAAACAGTGGCGTAATGTCAATGTTCCGTTTTATCAGATTTTCTCTCAGTTCACTTTCATAATCTCCGTTTTCGATGGTTCCTGTTTCACCATAGGTTACTTCAAAGAAACGTTCGGAAAGACGGATAATTTCTTTTTTTCCGATACCGAGAAGGGGGCGTATATAACTCACACCCAACTTCATTTCAAGACTCTGTACTTCAGACGATGTTCTCATGGGCACTCTGTCATCGCGACGTGTTCCATCGGCAATTACCTGATACTCTTTTGCCGCTGCAAGCAGAGATTGACGGTGAATTGCATTGATTGCGTTGCCGGGATGTCCGTCATGCACAACCATATCTGCCATTTCATCAAGAAATCCTTGAGGAAAGATAATCTTTCTCAGAGGGAGTCCGAGTTCCTGTGCAGCGGTTTGGATGGATGGCAGAGAACGTGTTTCACTGAAAACAAAAGATAACAGTTCAACGTCATAGTCGCGGGAAAGAAGATAGGCGGCAAGACCGCTGTCTTTTCCCCCGCTGAAGAGCACTCCCGCTTTCATTATACTCTGCGTATATTGAATTCCTTTTTATGAGGAACAAGTTGTGTTAACAGATTCTTCAGTTGTTCATCGGTAATTTTCTGACGAAGGCGGCCGGATTGGGCGAGAGTAACAATTTGTTGCTCTATGGATGCGGCAAATTCCGGTTTGGTAATACGAATTGTATTCAAGCGTTCCCGTGCTTCCGGTTCCATAACCTGCATAAGAACGGACTGAATCTGCTGTTGCATCTGCCGTTTTGCCTGAAGTTGTTCCTGCTCTGCCATCTGTTGCTGCTGTAGTTGCATCATACGTTGACGGCGAAGTTCAGCAAGTTCTTCTTCTTCTCCCATTCGATTCACCTGTTTGTTGTGTCAGTATTAGTATTTTGCAAGTCCGGGGGCAACCTTGACGGCATCATTTTTTAAGGAATGGGCGATACCATCGAGAAATTTGCGTCCCTGTGCAGTAACAGCTCGACCAGCGGGAACTTTTTCAATAAGTCCAGCAGATTCAAGCTGTTGCATGATTTTTCGTGCGATACTTCCGCTTCCTTTTCTGAAGTGGGACGGTTTACTACCGTTATCCTGCTTACCTCCGTAGATGGTCCGCATGCGTTCAACACCTAACGGTCCGTCAACATAAAGTCTGCGAAGGACGGCTGCGGCGCGAACATACCACCAATCCGGGTTTTCCGGTGGCATCTGTTTATGTACTCCCGTTTTTGCATACTCTGCCCAATCAGGTGCTTTAATTTCAGAAACTGCTTTCAGTTTATCAGCAACTGCGGTAATCAGAGTGCCTGCCGGGATGTCAAATACTGTCGTCATAGT